ACCAGACTCCAGCGAGAGACTGTTGAATTGGAATTCATTTGCAAATTGGATACAATTAACTTAGGCTTGACTAGAGACTGGGAGTGGCTAAGTCATTATGCAAGGTAACCTATTTCCCCTTTTTTTTCCTAACCCCCCCCCCCCCCCAAGACGTTCTTATTAAACCCTGGATTTGTGCTGGAAATGGCCCACCTTGATTATCATACACATTGTAAGGAGAGTGGTCACTTTAGGTAAGCTATTACCAGCAGGAGAGTGGGGTGGGGGGAGGTATTTTTTCATGCTTTGTGTGTATAAAAGATCTTCTACACTTTCCACAGTATGCATCCGATGAAGTGAGCTGTAGCTCACGAAAGCTTATGCTCAAATAAATTGGTTAGTCTCTAAGGTGCCACAAGTACTCCTTTTCTTTTTGAGAAAAAACAGACTAACATGGCTGTTACTCTGAAACCTGTCATTATGCTTCATACCCCTCACATATACATAGATGCTGGCTTAGCCATTCTGGCCATTGAGTTGGGGGTTAGACTGTTACCTGCCTGAATATTGCCTACCTGTGTCAGGGAAAGATTAAGCAAACAAGGGCCCCTGCTTATTCCCTGACTCAAGTCTGGGTTGTTTATGTAGGGATGTAAAGTCCTTACTCCCTTGGTGAAATGTGTCGTTTAAGACAGAATGTAGCACCATGCAATGAGGGTAGAATGTGGCATTCATGATATTTTCACTGTATGCCTTTTGTTGAGATGAATACAGTGCAAAAAGATGTCAGTTATGCCCTGAATTAACATTTACCATTGCAGTGTGTATAACAGACATCTGTTATAATGAGTCTTCTTGGTTGATTTCAGAACACACTCAGAAAATGACAGTACCTCTTTACCACCTGCTGACTCCTGCACCAGTCCTACTAAAATGGATTTATCATACAGTAAGACTGCCAAACAGTGCCTAGAGGAGATATCTGGTGAGTAGCATGTAGGAAAAACCTCAGTATAGGAATGTATATTTCTTTGTTTACATAGCTCTCCTACTAATAGCTTAGCAATGGTTTAAAATAATACCTTTGACCTCTACTCATTATATTAAATATGCAGAGAAAGTGGATCACACGCTGTTAGCACTTCAACTGCAAATTCTTTTATCTAAGATGTCTCACTTAGAATATCCTCTTCATCATTTTGCAGAAACTGGAGTGTTCATAAATTAGGATTTCAAGACATTATTATTACTGAATGCTCTGTGAGGAACCTTGAGAAGCCTATCTCGTAATGTGTGACACTGGGAGAATAAGATCAAATCAAAATGTCAGAAGCTGAAGTGTTAATAACAGAACATTTTTATTTCTGTAAGTCAATCTAGATTCAAAAAAGGGAGTAACTGAACAAATCCTTACAGCTGTGCTAGCCTGTGGCCCACTCAGCAAGGTTCTGTCTTGGGGTTCCCTCTAGATATGGGTTGAAATCCTTACTAAATTCAATTGTATTTTTTTTGTGACTACGGGTCAGATCATCAGCTGTTGTATGTTGGCATAGTCCTTAGATGTCAATGGAACCATGACAATTTACATCAGCTACGGCCATTTCCGGTCATAAATCTAGCTGTCAATGGGCACAAAACAAAGTGCGCCACAGCTGAGTTTCTCATTAGGATTGAATTGCATAGAAGAGCTGTGTACTTTTAAAGGGCTTGTTTGTCTGAACTGTGGTTTCCTTTTTTTACTCTGTACCATGACTTTCAAGCTCACTTTTAGAGCATAAAGGGTGAAATGTTCTGGAGGATGGCGTGGATTGTACTCTCAGCAACTTTGCAGATGACACTTAACTGGGAGGAGTGGTAGATACGCTGGAGGGTAGGAATAGGATACAGAGGGACCTAAATAAATTAGAGCAGTGTTTCCCAAACTTGGGAGGCGAATTGTTCAGGGAAAGCCCCTGGCGGGCCCGGCTGGTTTGTTTACCTGCCGCATCCGCAGGTTTGGCTGATCGCGGCTCCCACTGGCCGCGGTTCACTGTGCCCGGCCAATGGGGCCTGCGGGAAGCAGTGGCCAGTAGGTCCCTCGGCCCATGCCACTTCCCGCAGCCCCCACTATCCGGGCACAGTGAACCACGGCCAGTAGGAGCCGCGATCGGCCGAACCTGCAGATGCAGCAGGTAAAGAAACCGGCCGGGCCCGCCAGGGGCTTTCCTTGCACAAGCAGCGTCCCAAGTTTGGGAAACACTGAATTAGAGGACTGAGCCAAAAGTAATCTGATGAGGTTCAACAAGGACAAGTGTGGAGTCCTGCACTTAGGATGGAAGAATCCCATGCACTGCTACAGACTAGGGACTGAGAGGCTAGGCAGCAGTTCTGCAGAAAAGGACCTAGGGGTTACAGTGGACGAGAAGCCAAATATGAGTCAACAGTGTGCCCTTGTTGCCAAGAAGGCTTACAGCATTTTGGGCTGTATAAGTAGGAGCATTGCCAGCAGATCGAGGGACATGATCATTCCCCTCTATTCAGCATTGGTGAGGCCTCATCTGGAGTGCTGTGTCCAGTTTTAGGCCCCACACTACAAAAATTGGAAAAGCTTCCAGCAGAGGGCAACAAAAATGATTAGGGGACTGGAACACATGACTTATGAGGAGAGGCTGAGGGAACTGGGATTGTTTAGTCTGCGGAAGAGAAGAATGAGGGGGGATTTGATAGCTGCTTTCAACTACCTGAAAGGGGGTTCCAAAGAGGATGGATCTAGACTGTTCTCAGTGGTAGCAGATGACAGAACAAGGAGTAATGGTCTCAAGTTGCAGTGAGGGAGGTTTAGGTTGGATATTAGGAAAAACTTTTTCACTAGGAGGGTGGTAAAGCACGGAGGTGGTGGAATCTCCTTCCTTAGAGGTTTTTAAGGTCAGGCTTGACAAAGCCCTGGCTGGGATGATTTAGTTGGAGATTGGTCCTGCTTTGATGACTTCCTGAGGTCCCTTCCAACCCTGATATTCTTTGATTCTATGAAATTATGGCCCATTGAAATCTACCGGCGTTTTGCCATTTTGCCCCAAATTTTCAAAATTCAAACAAATGTTAAAAAACACATCTGGTTTTTCTCACTCAAGATGTAATTTGTTTAAAGGAACTCATTTGACACACACAACTCTGAAATGCTATCACACTTAGAAAGGATGATCAAATTTGCCCCAGTTTTGTCAGACTGCTTTGGCATCTGGCCTGATTCATATTAAAGTGGAGGTTTTATCTTGTTTCAGGATAGGTAACTGGCTCTGTCTCAGTTTTTCCTCAAGTGTCTCCAAACTGACATCCCGCACCTGCCAAATTCTTGATCAACTTTTTGACAAGTAGCCCAGTCTGAAACCTAATTAAGTGTTCCCTTTAGGTTCCAGTTAGATATATATTATCATGGAAACTTCTTGCATTCTAAATTAGTTAAACTTAATCTTTCCTAAAGGCAGATACGTGGCTCATTGGTCTTATTGTAGGCATAACAATTAAAAACATGCACATCTAAATAGGTGTAAATATTACAAAAGATGTTTCAAGAAATTATCCGAAGGGATGGTAAAAAATCACTTTTGTGCCTGCTGTAATGATCCTCTAAGATAGCAGGTATCCAGTCCTTTTACTGTTCTGTGTCAAAGTGGCAAATGCAGCAAAAAAGAGAGAGTGGCATATGGGGCACAAAGAGACATCAGAGATGTTTCTGATCTCATTATTCAGACTCTGTCATTAGCTGCAGACTGCCATAATGGGCAGCATGGCGGCACCACTGTGAGAGTTCAGCCATTGTTTCATTGTAAATTTGGCACACGGAGGAAACCAAATGTGTGTCACTCATAATTGGCAGTTAGAAATATGAGGAATGGCTGGATCAAACAATCACCCTGTGCAGCAAATGTATTATTAGCTATATATGTGCTGAAGAATATCATTTGGAATCTATCCATGTGCTGGCTATTCAGGAGACTGCTCTAGGATGAGCTAAGCAGGGGTAAGACAGAGATTTCCAAGCTCCCAAGTATATTCCAGCCACTCAGTGGGATAATCATCCAGCAAGGGATGTCATCTGTACCAAGGACACATGCAAGGGTGATTTTTTGTGATATGGACTCTTAAGTAGATAGGATGGGAGAGAATTATGAGTTGTTTTGTCTTTCTGTAACCTTTCTCTATTACATTCTATTTAGGTTCTTATACTGTGCCCATTATCATGTTACCTAAGCCCCAGGCTTGTTTTGGTTTTTGAATGACTTGATACGCAAATCCACTAGCCAGAAGTACAGTTAGTCAAAAAGGGTCTAATTCTGCAAGGTGCTGAGCGTCCCCTGCAAAATCATTTGTACAAAGGGAATTGAGGTCACTCAGCCATTCACAGGACTGGGCTCAGAAAGTTCTGTCCCATTTGCATATTTGTTTCATTTGTCTTTTTGGTCTTTGTTATTGTTTTTAAAGTGCCAAATGTTTACTGGGTGTTTTGCTAGGCAAATAGAAAGACAAGATTTCCCAGTCAAAGTTCTGGCAAGTCTAAGGGCCTGAGCCTGCTTGCACTGTATAAAGTGAAGTACATGCATAGATCTCTGCAAGATCAGGGCCTAATTTTAGGTATGGGGTAACAAAAAATGAGGAAGGGAAAGAGAGCAAGGAATAGGGTTACTAGAGTAATAAAATAAATTCTAATCCTAGTTTTGTTATTCACTCACTGTATGACCAAGAGCAAGTTGGTTAAACTTTCTTCACCATTTTCACCATCTGTAAAACAGGGATATTTGCCACCCTACGTTGCAGAGATGGTGTGGGCATTAATAAGCTAATTATACAATAGCACTCTGAAAAAAATGTACATCTCTAGAATTGCAAAATATTATTTTAGTAATCCAATTATGTTACTAAGCTTTTGCACAGTGTTTACATGTTTAAAGAGTTTAGCATGCCTGTTAAGGCTGATTCCCCACTCTGGAACTTCCAGTGCAGAAGGTGGGGGCCTGCAAGGACTCTAAAAAAATAATACTTACCACTCTAGGCTGTATTAAATTCCCAAGGTTACAGCTTCTCTCTGACCTTGGATTGGTAGATGTTGCCACCACCCAAGTGCAAAACCCTCTTGAGAACCCAGGAAGGCGCACTTGGGACTTCCTTCCTGTGGGGTACCCTCAAGCCCTTTCACCTCCCCCTTCAGAGAAGAGCTGAGAAGAAAAACAAAGGAAATCAGATGTTGTCACTTGCTAATTAAACGACGTGCACAAACCTCTTAGGACACAAAAATGAAATTCTGTTCTTAAAAAAGGTAAATTATATAAATAAAAAAAGAAGAAAATACATCTGGGATTTACGCTTTTGCTAGATTTAAAAAAAAACAATTACAAGGATTAAGCATCGAGAATAGCTTTCTTGAGGTCCAGCTAAAAGGTTACAAGCAAAACAAAAGCACCTGGGGTTAGCACAGAGGAATCCACAAACCATAAAGAAATAAAAGAGATAAACCTAAATGTGTCTTCCTCGACATTTCCTAATCTACTTACATATCTGGAGTTTTAGATGAGTAGTTTCTAGGCATAATACTAATATTTTTTCATACCTGGCCCAAGCTTCTCACAGCATAACTGTTCCTTGTCTGCCTCTCCCTGAGAACAACCACAGACAGACAAAAGGGGAGTCTTGTTTCAATTTTAAAAAGTTCTAGCCTTCCCATTGGCTCTTTTGGCCAGGTGCCCACTCACTTCCTTTTACCTATGCATAGCAGTAAGACTTTTAACCCTTTACAGGTAAAGCAAATAGAGAACAGCTACTAAGAGGGATTTTATAGCTACTAGCTGGTTGGAAACCCCTTCATTTATCACAATACCATAAATAATTATACATGAAGTTGCAAATATTAGCTAATTATAAATACACCATTCCTGATGTTTCATGTGGAAGCACTATACAAAAGTTAGGAAGGAGGCAAGGAATCATTTTAAGAATTAGAATTATATCCCAATATTAGCAGTGGGATTAGCATATCAACTTTGTATTTTCAGATGTGCACTTTTTTCCCCTTTCTAAAAGAAACACTTGAAAAGGATTTTGTAAACCATGTACACATGTACTTAGAATTAACTAAATTTAGCATGTTATTCTAATTCTGTGGATTTTGAGGGTCTATTATATAATTCATTAACAAAGGGCCAAACTGTGCATTCAAACATCAAGGAAAGTTGTGTGTGCTTATCTGAGAACAGAATTTGTCCATAGATTATTAAATTTGTAAATCATTTTTAAGATTCCTTTGTATGTAATGCATTATACAAAATAAGGTTTATTATTTCTATAAGCATGGGGTTGGGAAAATTCCCTATTGTCCTCTCTAAAAATGACACTTCCATCTTTAGGGTCCAGTACATTAGATTGTCATGTAATTGAGGAATATAATGTAATGTTTGCTACCTCAAAACTTCCTAATGTGATTTCTGTTCTATAGCCTGTTCCTGTTCATGGTTTTAGTTATGTTTCTTTGTTTCCATTTATATTTTTTAAAAATTTAAAATGGGAGAATGAGCTTTAGAAGACTATATTTCAGTAAATAAACCTGGGACTCTTCCATATTGGAGTCTCAGGTATTGTCACATTGCGGGGGTACATAGTAGATCAGAGGGTAGGTTAAAATCATCATTACAAAGGGACAGTTATCATAATTCAGAGTTCTTTGTGCTGTGCATTCATCCCAGGTACATTGTGTGCATCTAATGTATTTTAGGGGATGATGAAGATAGTAATAACCTGGGCACCTGAGACAGGGGTCCCATGGAAAAATAGCGTGTGATCATGCAATAAATATCTGTAGTACATTACATATGCACAAAAAGGGGCGAATTAAGAATGCACAGGAAACCTTAATTGTAACATTTATAACATTTAAGTGCTTGACTTTGCTACCTTAATACACTAAATAAGCTGTTTTATCTGGCACTTCACCAACCGGAAAGCTCTATAAACTGGAATTTCTGATCTTCATTGAAAGTCCTGTTTATAGTCTGGTTAGTGCAGGCGGGCAGGGGTTGGGGTGTGGGAGGGGGCTCAGGGTGCCGGATCCAGGGGGCACTCATCTAGGGCGGCTCCCTGCAAGTAGTGACCCGTCCCAGCTGCTTCTAGGCAGAGGCGGTGCCTCCACCCACAGGCCCTGCCCCCGCAACCTCCATTGGCTGCGGTTCCCAGCTAATGGGAGCTGTGGGGGCAGCACACAGAGCTACCTGTCGTGCTTCCGCCTAGGAGTAGCTGGGTCAGGTCGCCGTTTGCGGGGAGCTGCCTGAGGTGAGCGCCCCCTGGATCCCCCTCCCGCACCCCAACCTCCAGCCACGCACCCCCTCCCGAACCCAAAGTCCCTCCCTCTTAGTTAACCCCCATTTTTCACTTACCAGCACCCTCCATTCCCCCAACATGCTGTATAAAACTGCTTTTCCTGTAACATTTTAAATGTAATTTCTGTAATTTTAAATGTAATTTATTTGTTGTGTATCTATCTATCTATCTATTTGCACCTATTTTAGATCAATCGATAGATAGATAAAGTACACACTTTTCTGCTGCCAGGTAGGTCTTGTTGCTGATTGCAGCATACACAGTGGCTGGCTGGAGGACTAGATGCATTTCTCAGACTTCACACTCTTGTGTATGATATGTGTGGGCAAGCCCATTAACAATCCTGAGTAGCATGGAGGAGTCCTGCCCTATTGCTTACCCTGAGGAACAAAGACACTGCCACCTTCTCCCCGTTGCACACCAGTGCTGCATTAATTTGAAAATGAAGCAATTGAAAATAGTCCTTTGGCCACTAGCATCGTGCAAACAGAAGAGTGTTCATTGCTGACATTCTTTCTCTCTCTTTCTTTTTGGAGGAGCAGGGGAAGTGGAGTAGGGCTGGATTTCCTTTAGTTCATTTCATTTTGAACAACCTTCCCATCTGAGTCTCTCATTTTCTTTCCTGTACGCTTTTTGTCTAGAGGGGTCCAGCAGTGATTTAGTTTTCAAAGTGATCATCACTGACATCATTAGATCTTTATTTCTTTTGTTGGAGTCCCCCAGGAAAAAATGCACCCCTCCATTTTGTTGCTAGGAGATATATTTTTATCCAGCCCTACCTTAGGTAGCAGCTGTAAAATGAGAGGCTGAAAAGCAAATACGACACTGGGGCAACTCTTAATGCCCATCTATTACTAATATAGAAAGTCTGCAAATAATCTGTCCTTGTGTGTCATTAATTCCTGGGGTTTCCCACAATACAGTGTGTTACAGGTGTATTATGATGCTGACAGAATCAGTGTATTGTTATGTAGCATTTCTATATTTATTTTGGACATTTATGCACAGTATTTGGCCAAATTGATTGCTCCTGGGTAGACCTTTGTGTTTCAAAAATGGGATAAAATTCTACTTTAGTGCTAATTTTCTGTTCAAGCACCTTAATTATTTATACAAGTATTTTTTTCCCACTGGGAGAAGATATATTTTAAATGTTAGTCTCTATGTATAAAAGCAACATTTAGCTCTTGTAAACTTTGTTTCAGACTTGAAATTGGGTGGCTTTGTAAGAAAATTATATTCTTTCCATAGAGTATTTTATTTAATAGGTTCCTTTTTGAAGTTGTGAAGCCTTGATTTTGATCAAAGCTTTATAATTCCATAGTAGCTTCTGAATCCCAAGAATTTTTTTGAAGGAGGAAATGAAATCTCTCACTTTATAAATCACTGCCACAGAGTGGGTAGCATCAGGCTCCATTCTTTAGTTTCTTTATCCTCTTAAATTATATTTATTAATTTACAGCAGAAATTGCAAGATTCAAGAGCCATTTGCAAATCTGCTTTTTAACTGTCCGCAAAGGGAGTAGCAGGGAGAAGGAACAAATAGTTTGTCATTCTTACCTTCCAGGGAGAAAAATAGTATTTCAGTGCGAGCTAGGGCTAATATTGTAGCGGCCCAGTCAGGTGAAGCGGTGTCTTGAAACCTGTGGCATTTTAAACTAGACAGAGGCTTCTATGTCTCCGGTTTAAATCACCAGGATGTTTGCTGCCATGGCAGCCAGCAGCATCCACTGCAGTAGCAGGGAAGAGTCATAGATCTGGGAATGCAGGATGAATACTAAAATGTGAGGAGGCTCGTGCAGAGCTTTGCTTCAGTGGTTAATTTTGGCTCTTATTGAGCTCTGACGCGTAGGCTGTACTTGCAGCTCTGTGTCAGCCCATCTAAAGTAAAGAGCTGTGCGTTGGGATCGGTCATGATCTTGTGAGAGGGGAAAAAAGCACAAGACAGTACTTGCGCTGTACTTTGGATTTCAGAACACTGCAGCTGTAGAGAGAGATGCAGGCCCATCATTCTGATGAGACTGGTGATTGGATGAAGAGGGGAGAATGCAGTTGGCTTTTGGGATTACTTCTATGTGGGAGCAGAGTGTTTGATCAACTCTCTTCTGCTTGAGAGAAATTCAAGTAAAAATGCCTGTAAGTATTGCAGATTAACGTGACTGGAAAGAAGTGGCTTAGCCCAGGCAGCAATGTACATTTAGAGAAAATGACTGTGCCTGTCTAGTCATTTACAGCACATAAACTGGATGCTTGAGCTTTGCTTTTCATTACAAATGCAAAGATGTGCTACATGGTGTGTGCATCGTACAGTACTGAAAGGGTCACACCTGAGACCTGCTTAAAGATCTGAGCTACTGTAGATCTAGGAATATGAAATCTAGCTGAGGTGAAGCTTTAGCTGAAAGGATGCAACGACCTGCTGAATTATCAGTCTTTAAAGGCAAGGATGTTAGAAGAGGGAATGCTCGTCTTCAGAAACAGAAGTCTTTGACCAACCTTGCACTCATAAGTGAAGGGGAGAAGAGACGATACTCATACAGGGAGAACTGGTTTGGAAATGCCTCGAGGTCTAGCCAGAATTGTCATCAGAGAGAGGCAGAAGTTGGAGATAGAATCTCATTGTCCAAGTTGCTCTCGCAGTCGGTGCACTCTCTTCACCATAGCAGCAGTGCAACACCCCAGGAAACTGAAGTCTTACCACCTGCTGGAAGCAATAAGTCAAGTAGACGATCTGGAGGCCAGTCTACAGATGCAGGTTTTGAGGTTGGTAATGAGGAAAGGGACAAATCAGATGATGAAAATGTCCCCTGCAAGTCAAATTTCACTAGCAGGAACTGGGCAGAGGAAGAAGAAGAAGGCTGCCTCCGTGAAGGGACTGCACAGCTGGATGAGGATGTCATAATGACAATGCTGGGCGACCTAGAACAAGTACTTTACACTGATATGTTAGGTAAGTTAATTTCTGGTTGACACAAGAAAGGGCAGAGAGTTACATAAGTATTAGAACAGATCTGCATGGAGCAGACTTCTGTTGTTGACAGTAATATTGTGAGACAGAATTGGGTTCGTTTGCAGTAGTATATAAAATTGAATTTTAGAGTATTCCTCTCTTGCTTCCTTTGTTCCTTTTAGCTTTAAAGGGTGTAGGTAATGAAGACCAGTTTCTAAATCTTTTTTGATAGGTACATTAGCAGCAATACGGTATGTGAATGATTGAGCACAGTTTTCTTAGCTCTTTAAAAATAAAGGGAAACGTGTTAACAGTTTATTAATAAATATTTTATTTCTGTTTGAATAACTTTCCTTCTCATTAATGTAAAATTAGGATCCTTGGATTCTTAACAAGGATTGTTTTAGTAGGCAATATTATGGCCTAGTTATGACTTTATCCTCACATTTTCCCTCCACCCTGCAGGTAATCTCATCCATAAACATGGAATTTCAATAGAATTGTGGGTGCCAAAGCTTCACATTCTAGCTACATCAATTCGTGATAGCAAGCATCTAAATTTCACAGTTGTAGGAGCTTCAAAAAGCTTCTGAGCTGCTGGTATTACTTTTCATCTCATTCCTTGGAAGGATGGGTTGTCCAAAGTGTTCATTTCAGAAGCTTTTTGCTGTTGTGAAGGAAAATGGTTGAATGGTATGCGTCTTTTGCCAAGGCTGTGTAGCGTGTATCTAGTCTGTAGGTTTCCTACTGGTACATATTTGGATTCAGACTGGAGTTAAAGATTTAGGATGTAATTTATGAAGAAAGTAAAATTTAGTAAAAATGTTTCATTTTAAACTAATATAGAAATTAGATATATTCTTAACGTTTAGGACCAAGAGTACTTTACACTGAGGTGCCAGGTTTGACTTTTTGCATGGAGATTAGTTAAGAAATCTGAATGGTATACCTGACTCTGTCACTTGCACCTCTGTGAGCTTTCATTTCCCCACCTGCAAAATGAGGATAATTATACCTTCCTTTGTAAAGTGCTTTGAGATCTAAGGATGAAAAGTTCTACATGGGAGCTTATTATTATTACTATTATCTGGAAATACTTTGATGAAAGGCTCTATATAAGTGAAATTATTATTTTATTATTATCTGCTTCAGGCATTAATTATAGTTAAGGCTACATTTTAGTCTCGGGTATTTTTAGTAAAAGTCATGGACAGGTCACAGGCAGTAAACAAAAATTCACCCCCTGTGACCTGTCCATGACTTGTACTATATACCCCATAATCTTGGATGCTCAAGCAGGGGGGGCCGGGGGTGCCACAGATGCTCGGGGGAGTGCCATGGGTGCTCTGAGGGGAGCAGCCTGGGACCTCCACTGTTTTTTTTTTGGGGGGGGGGGGAATGGTTGGCAGGGCTCGCAGGCTCCCTACCTAGCCCCGAATGGCTCCCTGGAAGCAGCAACATGTCCCTCCCTCAGATCCTAGGCAGAGGTGCGGCCAGGGGGGCTCCACGCACTGCTTCCACCCCGAGCACCGGCTCCGCAGCTTCCATTGGTCAGGAACTGCGGCCACCCGGAGCCCTCACCTCCTCCTGCACCCAACCCCCAACCCTGGGTCCCCTCCCACACCCAAATTCCTGTTGCTGCTGTGGGGGCCGTGATGGCCCAAGACTGCCCCAGCAGCAGCCAGTGCGGCTGGCACAGGGACTGCCCAAGCTGCTCAGGTGGCCCCCGGGCCAGCCACACCAGCCACTGCAGAAGTGAAGGAGGTCCCAGAAAGTCACAGAATCCATGATTTCCATGACCTCTGTGACAAATTCACAGCCTTAATTATAGTCAGCATGTAAGTTTTGGAATTATCATTATCAGGATTATTGATAAAGCAATTAACGGCAAACATCACTACTGGGAGTCTAACATACTTGAACAATGACTTCTTTAAAAATGATCATTTTGATTGTCTGTGTTTGTATCCAAACAGGGGGGGGAGAGAGAGAGAGAGAGAGAGAGAGAGATGTAGATATTTGCAGAGAGAATCCATGGTTTAGTGTGCTATAAAGCTGCTCTATGCAAGAGTTTTTGATGTCTGCATTAATCATGAGTGTTGAAGCCTTGAATGAGTGAAGCAGGTCATTCCAGATGAGTGCAAATAAAATCTTCATACTATACCCTCATGTAATCTGCACATGACATGCCAGAAGGGAAAAAAAATTAGAACCCTTTTAATTATTTTTACTGATTCTATTTTTCTTTTTTCCTACCTGTAAAGCTATTTCACTTTAGTAACAAAAGCCCACCAGTAAAGGCCTAAAAGAAGGAGAGAAATTAAAACTAATACAGTTTAGAAACCTCTAGAAGTAATACTAAATCACTTTTCTTTACATAATAATGTTACAATTTCAGTCCGATATCTTCTCATCTGTTTGTGCTAGAAACAAAGAGTTTTGTGCCATTGGAAATGGGGGATTATTCAGTTTCTAATGGCCTTTTCTTTGAGAGATTACAGGAGAATAGACTTTAAACATGTCATATTTCCAAGATAGAATATTGCCCTCTTGAGCTTTGGAGAGTTAATTTTGGGAGAGAAATACTATGTTTTGAGGGAAACAAATGGTGGCCCCATTCAAGGATCAAGACTCCATTATCATATGCTTTGTACACACACAATAAAAAAAGACAGGTCCTACCCAACGTATCTTATATTCTAAATATATGACAAGGGACAACAGGTAGAAACAAACAAGGGAAAGGGAGAGGATTAAGTAACAGTGAATATTAAATATTGAAAATATTAGCAATAATGTTAAAATAACTACACACAAAAAAACACACCCAAATAAAAACATGGCAATTCTAAAATCCAAAGATTTTAGAATATGGAAATGAATAGTTAAGGCGGATAAATATCTAGATATCCTCCGTCCCTCAGATAAATATACACATGTTAAGTATGGATATTGCACAGTCTAAGAACGGCCTTACCTCTGCCCCCTCACACCTCTAAACCTCAGTGTACAGACAAGGAAATCCTCCTACACCATCCCATTATATATTATATACATTTCCAACATGGGCTACAAACCTTTACAGATGAACAAGATCCACAGTCCCAGTCTTCCCTCACACCATATCTTCCTTCTTACCGTCCAGTTACAGAACTGAGATTTGACCTTCCCCATCCCAATTTGCATTATGTTCAAAATAACGTGCATATTATGTCTTATTTTCACAAACAATTCCTCCCCGCACCATTTCCCCATCCACTGCTACACATGATATAGAAATCCCAATGTACTGCCTCCACCCACCATATACAGACTAGATCAACTGTTCTCAAACTGTGGGTTGGGACCCCAAAGTGGGTCGCAACCCCATTTTAATGGGGTTGCCAAGGCTGGCGTTAGACTTGCTGGGGCCCAGGGCTGAAGCCAATGCCCAAGCCTCACCGCCTGGGGCAACTGGGCTCAGGTTACAACCCCCCCACCCTGGGCTGAAGCCCTTGGGTTTCAGCTTTGCTTCCCCCTCCCCACCACACCCAGGGTGGCTGGGCTTGGGCTGGCTCAGGCTTCAGTCCCCCCTCCTGGGGTTGTGTATTCATTTTTGTTGTTAGAAGGGGGTTGCAGTGCAATGAAGTTTGAGAACCGCTGGACTAGATGGGGTTTGAGAACAGCGGGACTAGACTGCCTTTTTTTTTTTTTTTCACCTTCACAGTGCAAGTCATAGACCCAACCTTCCAAAAACATACTGTACCACATTTAAGCAAATCCACAATACACATATAAGCCTGATTTCAGAAAGGTACTTAAATGGATGCCTACCTTCAAACACATGAATAGTCCCATTGATTTCACTGGGACTACGCATATGGCTTAAAGTTAAGCACATGCTAAAGTGCTTTA